TGGCTGATTTGAAAGTTAACGGCTAGAATTTTGATTAAAATCTTGATTAAAATTTCTCACAAACAGGGCATAGATGTTTATTAACTTAAAAAAAGGAAATTGGACTCTTGAATCAAACGTAGAATTTTATTGTAAGTATTCGGTCATCCAAGATCTCAAAATCGCAATTACCTTGGAAGTATATCTCTGGGCTCCGTAGATAAGTATGCCGACCACCGTCTCCATAGATTGATCAAGAACCCATTAATACGTCTTGTAAATATGTCTTCCCTCCTCCGGTAAACCCAGTAAAACAATTCACTTGATGATACCAATACACACATGATATATAGAAAAGGCCTAACTGAGTCGGAAAAGAAGATCGATGCCAATGATGCCACTGCCATATTGCCAAACAACACCATACAATATAGTTTAAAAGCAGTGAAGAAAGTTTGGGTGTCACCAAACCTCAAATTTGCGCCAAATGCCAAGTAGTAATACATTATGGAACTAAAAACTGCGAGACTCATTGTTCTGGGATGAGTTGTAAATGGAGTTTCGTTTATCCCTTGGTACTTCAACTGGAGGAAACTGAGCAGAACAGGAATAATTGAGGCAGCACTTCGATCATTGTGAGTGATTGTAAATATATTCCAAATGTAGGGTCTCACATTCCAAATGAAACTGAACGTTGAGCTAACTCTTGTAGTGTGCGCCATTGGGTTTTCAGTTCCTGTAAGAAAAAGAGAAAATTTAGTTAATGAAGTGAAAATCATTTAAAGAAGATAACAAAAGGTCTCACTTGCAACCCTTCCATCAGCCATTGCCTCTTTTACTCTCGCTTGCTCTGTTCTCGCTGATCAAAGACTGATATGAAAACTTGGTGACATAGGGCATATTTGTACAAGGACCAAGAAAATTCCAATTATCTTTTCGAACTTGTAATAATTGCAAAAAAGTCATGACCTAATGAAAAGGACTATACGTAAAGATAATGAATTGATAATAAGGTCCATATATATATAATAAAGATAATGAGAGTTTCCATAAAAAGATAAAATACACAGTGAATTGATAATAAGGGATCTTATTAGAGTTTGGGCTAGGTAGGTTTATATGTAAAAAAATTACCTATAAATAAAATATTTTGTTCAACCTTTAATAATGGCATCATGACCTAATGAAAAGGTCGGTCTTCACTGATTAGGGATGAGGAAACTTTAATTAATATTTTGTTCATTAATTTATTGTTTGTAGAATTTGTAATTGATCCAATCGACTCGAACAAAAATCTTCCGTGCCATTTGCGTGTGTGTGGGGGCGACTCCGGCGGTTAACTTGAAGTTAGATGTATCGTCATTTTTTTGTGGGAATTAAAATTAGATTTTTGGTAGATCTTGATAAAAAAAATTTGAAATATATAGTTAAAAAGTTGTGGAGCCTATAAAATATGTGTTTACTAATTTGTGTGCCCCTTTATTGGCTAAGTTAGCAAAATCCGGGTTTTTATTAGAAAATATGGTTCAATACTTGTACTTACAAAATCGGTTGTCGTGGTTGGAGGTCGCGGCTTCGATGGACATTGGAGAGGGGAAGTCGGACTCGGCAGTCAGCGATTTCGATTTTTAATAAATTACAATTTTTTTTTAAATATATGTCTGTTTCATGTGTCGGGTAGTTGGCCATTTAATGAAGGCGAAACACATAAATCTTTATGTAATCCCCAAGACCCCAACTTTGGTACAAATCTTCTTTGCAGGCAACTTCTTTGCATCATTAAATTCAAACTTCAGCGATATTCGAAGACTTCTCTTCTGAATGGCTCTTAAGTCATCCTCATATCTACTGAGAGTCTTGTAGAAAACGGTCGGACTTGGTTAGATTGAATGAAAGGTAGATCTTGAAGCTTATTTTGAGCCACTTCTTTATCTACTAGTATTGCCAAAATTTAAGATCTTCGTGAATGTATATTCCTAAATTGAAGTGAAAGTAGTAAATGTAGTTCATACCCAAGATTTTATAAGTAGGTCAAACTGCATTTTGACTACAGGTATCATTAGACTTGCTATTTTTATTTATTTTTTTACTATACATTTCATTAGACCTATCAAATTATAATTTAAAAAAGTTTTGTCAAAAGTTTACATGGAATGAATGAATGTCTATAGAAAAATGAATAATAAATTATAATTACACAGCAAAAGTTGTATTCCTAAGTGCATCGCTCATTAATGGGCGCTAAACAAGAGAAGTACGAATGCAAGTTGACTAAGTGCATGTTTGGTTTAAACATATTTTTGCATTCACACATTCCACGTACTGTCTGTAGAAAATAATAAAGGGTAATGCTACATGTACACACACACTTTTACACAATCTTTTACACCTCTCTCACATGGAGGGGGATCCACGATTATTTTATTATGTGTGGGCCCCCCTCCATGTGAGGTGGTGGTAAAAAATTGTGTAAAAGATTGTGTACGCTTAGCTTTATTGTTAGTATTTTTCNCCATGTGAAAGAGGTGTAAAAAATTATGTACACTTAGCATTATTCAATAATAAATTGGCGTCACAGCCCAACAAACACAATACATCAATGCCTGAACCAGCTTTCGCAATTTGGTACTTTAGGCCAGCTTGACAATAAAGTCTTTGGACAAGACAAGGACAAGGACAATTCCTTGTTGTACACTGTTCTACCTTAAACTATGCGCTTCTGAAATACTAAAGAAGGGTTTTCCTACGTCTTGCTTCCGCCGTGTTTGTTTGTACACAGTAATGAAAACCCTAAATAGATTATGCCATACAGAATCTAAAGGCAAGTGTTATTAGAGGTGTCAAGACGGACGGGCCGACCATGACCCCGTGAAAATCGGGATCGCGGGTCGACCCGTGACCCGTGCG